GGGGGGGGGGGGGGTGGTGCTGCTGGCACTGTATGGGGTTATGGGATTGGGATGTCGCTAACACTGCTTAGTCAGGGTGGGGAGTTGGGGAGGCAATGCATGGTACCTCTTTCCAGCGTCCTGCCACGCTCATTGATGTCGGTGGTTGGCAGAGCGTCCTGTTCAGCTCCTGGGAACCAGTGACGTCCACAAGCTGGGCAGGATGCCGACCAGAGCGCCCCAGGTTGCTAAAAGCTCTTAGCATTCTGGCACACCTGCCCGCCCCATTGAGATGCCTCCTGAGGCAACCACTTCAGGCTGCCTCATTAGAGGGACGGCCCTGTTCCCAGCGAAGTACAGCAGAGGGCAGTCAGACTGCAGACACAATCCTTCCGTCCTCAAGTATTTTTCCGTTCTGGGGTGCCGTTGTACACAAACTATTACATGGGGCTGGTAACTTTGCTGATGTACCATTAAAGGGGGCTGGTAACTTTGCTGATGTACCATTAAAGGAGAACTACGAGGTGAGCGATTTCCACTCCTCCTCATAGTTAGAGCTGATGAGTGACATTGAAGCTGTCACAGGTCGGCTCTATTGAACGCATACCGCCGCTGGCTCACTTCCTGATCATCTCTCTGCAGAGAGCTGTGACTGGCAGTCACCGCTCCCTACAGGGTTTCCCCCCTCTCCGATCTGCCAGCGCTGACTGGAGGAAAGGACGGGGGAGGGGGCGGGTACAGCTGGCTCTGCCCCTAGATAGGCAGAGCCAGCTGTCACTCACGCGGCTTGGTGGATCTCGACAGCATTGGTGGGATCGGTCCCAGCTGCGGCGCTCTCAGCATATAGTGGACAATATCCCGCTATGTACTGAGATTTGGGTCACAGGAGGAGGTTGGTATATGTCCTCCTGTGACCCTAAAAAGAACTATGGGATAAAAAGGTTACCCCATAGTTCTCTATTAAGTCCCTTTTACAAGTAAATAGTACTTCTGTGTGTCCTGCCAGCTCCTTACCCTGAGGTGTATGTTGCATGTATATAATGGCTTTTCATTAAAGGAGAACTATCAGATGAGTGATTTCCACTCACCTCATAGTTCTAAGCCGACCTGTGACAATGAGACGGTCACAGGTCGGCTCAGTAGATCGGGAGGTGAGCGAACACATACCAGGTTCGCTCGCCTCTCGATCCTGTCACGGCTCTCTGCCGTGACGGGGAGGGGCTGGATTCCCCTCTCCCCGCTCCGATCTGCCAGCGCTGACTGGCGGAACGGACGGGGGAGGGGGCGGGTACAGCTGGCTCTGCCTCTAGATAGGCAGAGCCAGCTGTATCTCACGCAGCTGGGCGGATCTCGACGTCGATGTCGGGATCCGCTGCGGCGTCTCAGTATATAGTGAGCTGTAGCTCGCGGTATACTGAGCTTAGGGTGACGGGAGGACGCTAGTTTGTGTCCTCCCGTTACCCTAAGGAGAACTATGGGGAAAAACACTGACCCCATAGTTCTCCTTTAAGCCCCACCCCCAACCTAGTGTAAGGACTTCACACGACGTCCGGACCAGATCCGTGCGCTCCTGCACTTGCTGGTCCTTGGCCTATAAGATGCAAGTCCTTGGCCTATAAGATCTTAGTAACTACCATGGCAGCTTCATTTATCATGCCGCATCAAAGAAATCAACAAAAATACCTTTTCCTGTCTATTTAGTCGTGGAAAAAAAAAACTTGCATCAGGGGGCTACAAAGAATACCTCATCATTTATCTCCATGAGAGTGAAATGGCTTCATCATTGGTGCGAGGGGGAGGAAAATCTGCCCCTTCATTGGTGCCAGTAGTGATGAGAACACTGACATGAGTTAATAGGCCATTGAAATGTAAGGCTAGTTGCACTATGAGGCCCCGTTCACATATAGCGACATACCTTTTGCAGCGGATCCGCACGGCCGGGATAGCGCGACTTTCGGGGCGACGTTCCAGCGACGGTAGCGCGACCTTCCCCGTCGGGCTCCATAGAAAAAAAGTAAAATCGCGCAAAATCCGCCGAAAAAAGGGTCCGGTAGAAGCGACTTGCGACCGCGACGTGCGACATGGAGTTAAGACAGCTCCATTGAATAACATTGGCCGGCGACTTCTCGCGATATCGCGCGGCAAAAATGCGCGATATCGCGGCGGAAATCGCGCGACAATTCGCTATATGTGAACGGGGCCTGAGGGGCATTTACTAAGACTGGAGCAGACAGAATTGGGAGATTTGCATGGCAACCAATCAGCTTCCAGCTTTCTTTTTTAAACCTTAACTGAACAAGCTGAAGATAGAAGCTGATTGGTTCCTATGCACAACTGATCCAGATTCTGCCCCCATGTGTTATTTATGCCTCTTGCAGCAGTACCTGCACTGACACCTACAACTCAATACTTGGGGCAAAGTTATCACCATTCTGGTGTTTACAGATGAATTGCATTGCATGTGATGGCTAGCTGACCCCCCTCCCCCCCCTTTCCAAACAGGACATTGTTGGACAGGTTTCATTTTACTTCCTCATTCCACGTACCTGACACATAAATACCACTTTTCATTTCATGGTGAATGTTGTGGATTTCTTGGAGTTCTCATGTAATCTACGTTCATTCACTGACTGGATTTCATCCCCGCTGACTGCCATTGAAGTTGTCTGCACTGAATTAAGCACGGCTCAGAATGTAGGCCACAGAACAGCTTGTGGGTGTATTCAGATGACATTGCTGGGAAAGGTGCCATGCATTTTGATGAAAGGCCCCAGTCGCAGCCTCATGTTACTGATCAGGAGAAATAATGCAGCTTTGTCTTTTTCCCCCCCAGGGGTGGCAGTCATGAAAATGAAGAATCCTCCGGTGAACAGCCTCAGCCTGGAGCTCCTGACAGAATTCTCCATCAGCCTGGAGAAGCTGGAGATTGACCGAGGCTGCCGGGGGCTTATTCTGACCTCTGTACGTTATCATATTTACTAAACACCAGTAATCTATTCTGATTTTACTCCTCGTTACACAACAATGGGAGTTATTACTGGCATATAATATGTTTTCTGGGCCATCGCTGATCTATGGGTGTAGACATTTATTACATATGCTGGTATCACTGTGCCGTAGGGCCCAGCCCCTTTCCTCTAAGGCAGAATTTCTCAACCTGTTTTAAGTACCTACTTTTACATCAGAGTCCCCCCTTCAGATTAGGAGCCCCCCTTTCACATCAGAGTCCTACAATCACTAAATTTCAAGGCAGCCCAGTGTGCCACGGCACCCTGGTTGAGACCGGCACTCTTTACGAATGAAATGCTGCAGTGGGTGCAAACGGCTTTCCTCCCACCGCATACACAGCTCATCAGTTTGCTATGTGGAGAAAAGCTTAAATAGGAAGGAAGGCTTGACCTGGGGATTACTCAGCAGGATCCATCATAGGGACAGACTGACATGCAGAAGACTGCCCCTGGGTGCATTAAGGAGATCGCAGACCTGTGTTGTTGGCATGTTTTGTATTGTTGGTGATTTTTATCTCCCACTGTCAGCAGTAAAGTGGGAACCCCCCCCCCATCCACCAGTACCTGATAATAGGACAAGGTAGCATGTGCCTTGACATCTTGTATAAGATTGGCTATCAGTACTATTTGTTTATCTTTATTCATTGCTGGCAGGAAGCTCATTGGTTGTAGTTTTAACCCCTTCATGACTGAGCTTGTTTTTAGTTTCTGTTCGTAAATGACTGACACACTTTTGACATTTTTGCTGTGTGATTCTTCCACGTCAGTAATATACTTTCTTACAAAGTGCACCCACACATATTATATATTGTTTTTTAGAGGACAGATAGGGCTACATATTTATATCACATATGTGTGTCTAACGCCTCACTTAGGACAAATAAAATATAAAAAAAGAGGAAAAAAACGTATAAAAAAAACACTTTTTTCCCAGTTTTGATTTGTAGTATTTTTTTTACAAAACCAGCACAGCTAAAAAAATGCAATAAATACATTCATTTATTTGTCCCTTATTTTATTTTATTTTTTACACATTTTTTTATTTTTTTTACACTTTTCACAATTTTTTTTTTTTTTTACACTTTTCACTTTTTTTTTAACTTAAAAATGTTATTTTATTTATTTAATTATATCAAGCAGATTTTGTGAATTAATCTCACTGTTACTGCATGATAAATTAATAAATTTTTGGTTATTATCAGGCTGCTTCAAACTTCAGAACAGCCGATAATAAGTTAGTGACACTGATCCTGCAGCAGTTCAGGATTCAGCTGTTACTAAATGTTTTCTGATTGTTGCAACAACGATCAGCAAACAAACATTCTTCTTCCAGGAATAGATACATTGTAGGAATAGACACATTTTGTATCTATTCATGAAAGAAAAAAAAAAAAGCCAGTATAGCTTGAGAGAGATATCTCTCGATCTATACGAGCTGTCAGAATGCCGGCAAAAGCCGGCATCTGTGTCCGCTTTGCTTTGACTCTCAGACACCCGATATTAAGGTATCGGGTGTCTGAAAAAGGTTAACCCTTTCATTAATGAATGCCTCTGTAGTAAGGGCATCCATTAATGAATGTTAAAAGCTGATTCTCAGCGATTAACAGCCCTCTAAAGCAGCAAATAACTCATCACGTACAGTGTACGTGACAAGTCATTTGGTCCCTTTGTGGCTGGACGTACAGTGTACGTCTCCCGTCACGAAGGAGTTAAATAAAAAATAGAATGCAGAATGAAATATGAAGCGGTTGCCCGGAGCAGACAGATTCCAGTCAGTCAGAACAGGTTTCTCCATAAAAGCGGTGACTTGGACAGATACTGCCGGCAATACTTCAGCTTGCTATTCTTTCCAGCTTCCATAAAACAGGCCCCATGTGTCTGCTATCTCCTGATAAGCAGCGAGGACAATGTTGAATAGTGGGAGGTGACCAAAAGCGTTCTGTTATCTTGTGACATACGGGGTCAGGATATTTTATTCGTTCATTTTTATAGCGCCAACACATTCTGTATTTCCTTACTGAGTACACAAATCAATCACTTCAATGCCTGTCCCGGAAGGAGCTTACAGTCTGTTCCTACCACAGTCATACAGACTGGGACCAGTTTGGTGGAAACAAAGGAACCCAGTCTGCGATGATGCAAACCCAGTATGGATGATGTCCTTGGTGGAACCTGAATGTAGGTGATGCAAGACATGATTGCAAACCGGTTATTCACCACCCTGCCCATTCCTCGGCACACTAAAACCAGGGATCAGCTTGTGCTACAGCAAATGTTTTTTTTAGCCCTGCAGCGAGGTTCTCAAAATGATAAACAGTGCATGGAAAGCCAGGATTTAACCCGTAGCCTTATGGTGGCTACACAGGAACCAAACTTGTTACACAGTGTGAACGTTTTCTGTACAGTTCCTTTTGTATAAGAGTGGACCGTTTTATTCGCATTACTTTAGAGCAGTCTTTCACAACCAGTGAGCTGTGGCACCCTGGGGTGGTATCTGCTTCCCTCCGGGGTGACTCGAAATCCTTGTAATTGAGGGCTCTAATGTGAAGAAGAGACGGAGGGCTCTGATGTGAAGAAGAGACTGAGGGCTATGATGTGAAGAAGACTGAGGGCTCTGATGTGAAGGGGGGACGGGGACGGAGGGCTCTGATGTGAAGAATAGATGGGGGGCTCTGATGTGAAGAAGAGATGGAGGGCTCTGATGTGAAGAAGAGATGGAGGGCTCTGATGTGAAGAAGAGATGGAGGGCTCTGATGTGGAGAAGAGACTGAGGGCTCTGATGTGAAGGGGGGAAGGAGGGCTCTGAAGGGGGGGGGACAGAGGGCTCTAATGTGAAGGGGGGACTGGGGACTCTGATGTAAAGGGTGAACCCCACGTTTTTGCATGGTGTCCCCCTTAAAATCCACTACATTTTAGATTGAGGTGCCTTGAGATTTTTTAAACTTTTAAAAGGTGCTATGACTGAAAAACTTGAGAAATGCTGATATTAGAGCCTAACATCAGCAAGTTGGAATTGTTTGTGGATAAAGTAGAATAACCCAGCACTGCATATTGCCGTCCACTAAACATGTACATATTGGGTGACTGAGGCCAGGTTTACATATTTATTAGGGGAGAGATGAGCAGTACATTAGCAGAGAACAGTCATTGCTTTTGTCTACCTTTTATTCTTTTACCTTATGAGATTCTCTTGAGCTTTTATTATTATGTGTGCCTTTTTATCATGTTTTTCTATCCTGTTCCCAGGCCTCTCCGAAAGTCTTTTCTGCTGGGCTGGACATTACAGAGATGTGTGGAAAGAGCGCTGAGCACTATGCAGCTTTCTGGAGAGCCGTGCAGGAGATGTGGCGGAAGCTGTTCGGATCCAACATGGTGACAATAGCAGCTATCAATGCAAGTGTTTTATCATTCTGCTTCTAGTAATAAATAAACGCCTTTCATTTTACATTTATTATATTGTCTTAAAGCGACACTAAACTACGGAGTTCAATCTTAAAAATGCATTCAAGTACCCGAACTATATAAGACACCAAATAAGATACAAAAATGTATCTTATTTGTGTATCACTCGGCTGTAGATCCTCAAATCATCTCTGAATTGGTGCTGACACTGTCCTTCCTTCTGGAGGGTGGCTACTTTTGTTCCCCATGGTCCCTGTGTGTGTTGTAAAGTAGCCATCACTCCAAGCTCTCTCGCGTGATGGACTACAATCTCAATATAAATTGGTAAACTAAACATGAGATTGTTGTCCATCAAAGGAGCGATCTTGGAGCGGTGACCACACACAGGGACAATGGGGAACAAAAGTAGTCACCCTCCAGAAGGAAGGACAGTGTCAGCACCAATTCAGAGATGATTTGAGGATCTACAGCCGAGTGATAAACAAATAAGAGACATTTTTGTTAATAGTTAAGGTATTTGAATGTATTTTTAAGATTTAACTCCTGAGTTTACGGTCACTTCAGAGTAGTTTTAAATGCTCCACTTCTTTTTCCCTCTAGTTTATTTCTAATAGCTGCACTTTCATTTTTTTTGTCCCCCCAAATATATTTTTATCTTTTGAAATGATGTCCTCCTCTGCATGAATCTCCATGCCACTTCCCGGAACTTCCAGCCGAGGAGCGTGCTCTGCACAGCACACATGTAAGATCCGATTACAGCAAAACCAGAATTTAGCTGGTGGGTAGAACAGCGCTGCAGTTTACAGAGGAAGTTGTCTGTCTCGGCTTTTGCGTACAGCTGTAGACCCGGAAGCACGCATGCAAGGGTGGCTCTAGGGAGACCCTGGAGGGCAACGGAGCCACCCTCTACGCATATCAATTGTTAGCAGGATCTTCTTTTTCAGAAACAAGGACATTGAAGGCCAGTAATAAGTAGTGCAGAGTTCAGTCTGTTATTGCTTTTCCCTGCTGTTTATAAAATAAGATTTATTTGGATTTCAAGGTTTTCCTTATTGTATCTACTGTCCCGGCCATTAACCATGGCCTGCTGTCAGGAAGCTTCCACCCTAATGCAGAATACATGCTGATGAAGCTGGCAGGTACACACACCCATCTGCATTGTAGGCAGCAGAAAAATGATCCCTGTTATAACACTGACAGTCGGCACTGAGAACCTCTCATTACAGGGGGGTCCCTGGTTCCACCTGCCACGGATTCTCCCTCACCCTTTTACACACTTCCAGCCTGCAAGGACCTGAGCCCACCAGCCCCTCTCATCTGCTTTAACACAGCCGCGTTTGATGGTTTGGCAGCACTGGCTGGTTTGGGCCTTGTGCTGCTCTTCGATTGACACTGGCTCTCTAGTTCCTGGAGGCCCTTGGCCTAGGACCTCCCATGGCTCTGCTCTGAGTATAGATTTGAGAGGTAGATTCTACAGGTTGCCAAACCCTATCTGGAGCAGTTAAGGGCAGAATCAAGGAAAATGTGCTAGTTCAGAAAACTTTGTGTAAGATATTCATGGCATTTATATTGACAGAGTAGAGAAATGTAACTTATTTCCCATCCTCCTCCCTCTACACAGGGTTCAAGTCCCGCTGGCGGGTGCCTTATGGCCATGTGTTGTGATTACCGGATCATGGCTGACAGCCCGAAGTACGCCATTGGCCTGAATGAGACCCAGCTGGGCATAGTTGCTCCCTTCTGGTAATGTAGAAAATGTTACGTAGTCTGTTTTGTGTTTCTTCATCCTTCGCAGAAATTCTACTTAAGCCATTGTTCACATAATTAGCAGGTGTGCCCGAACTCTGAATCATTGTGTTGTAATCATTTCATTCTTTCGTCTGTATACTGAATAGACTCAGGAAATGCATTGATGAACTCTTAAAGGGCTTTCTACTTTTAGCAAGAAAACAGAATATCCCATGCATCAATGAGCAGGTGCCAAATGGTAGGGTAGCATGCTAAATAATGTGTAAACATAACAGGTATTTATTATTTTATAGAGATCGCAGTGCTGAGAGAGAGAGAGAGAGAGAGCGCTTGCACTGACAATTTAGACAGGAGCCGATTAAAACCGTCCAGCATGTCTTTGAAGTGTGGGAGGAAACCAAAGTACCCGGAGGAAACCTACACAAGTGCAGGGAGAACATGCAAAATCCTTGCAGTGTCCTGACCGGGATTTAAACAAGGGGCCGCCAGTGCTGTAAGACAAATCAGCCCCTGCTGCAGCCTCTTGAGTTGCTTTTGACTGCAAAAGTGGAAATAAATGAAAATAAAGCTGATAAATAAATTGCTGATTGGTAGGCTTTCTATGGCAGCCTGAGTCGCATACGTGCACGGACCTGGCATGCAGACATGAAGTAGCTCCTGTGCGCATGCTTGAGAGTTATGTCATCAGCGCCTGGCCAGTCAAGCAGGCGAACACTTGAAGCGCCGATGAGGGAGAGGCACAACGCTGGAGGTGATCGCTTTGCCAGGTAAGTCTGTCATAAGGACCTAATATGTTGTGCATACTACACATGGCTGAAAGCTCCTTAACCACTTTCCAGACTCATTCCACTGTAATGGATTTGGATTGTTTTGTCTACTGCACAAGTACCGATCTCCCATAAACCTAAGTATGTGATCATTGTTAGTCGCTTTACTCCGATCTAAATCTATGGCCTCGTGGCTCTGAGAGCAATGGGCTTTAAAGGCTGGCCAAAAAAGGCTTTGTTAGTGTTAGTGATCCTACAACTGTCAGTTTTTATCCTGAGAGGAATTCATTTTTAACATCGGACTCTGCTGTGTCGTGTTCATGTTAAGTTTGCTTTCAATTGCTATCACTGGGCTTTATTTACCCCTTCGTATATAATGTTTACATTTTCATTTGAGGTGACAATAAAATCAGGAACTAAACCTTAAAAATACATTCAAGTACCTGAACTATAAACAAATCTGTATCTTATTTGTGTATCACTCGGCTGTAGATCCTCAAATAATCTCTGAATTGGCGCTTACACTGTCCTTCCTTCTGGAGGGGCTACTTTTGTTCCCCATGGCCCGTGTGTGTTGTAAAGTATCCACCACTCCAAGATCACTCCTGTGATGAGCTACAATCGCAATACAAATGAGTAAACTAAACGTGAGATTGTAGTCCATCACAGGAGTGAGCTTGGAGCGATGGTTACAACACACACGGGCCATGGGGAACAAAAGTAGCCCCCCTCCAGAAGGAAGAACAGTGTCAGCACCAATTCAGAGATTATTTGAGGATCTACAGCCGAGTGATACACAAATAAGATACATTTGTGTATATAGTTAAGGTATTTGAATGCGTTTTATAGGCTTTTGCTCCTGAATTTAGTGTTTATTTCTAACAAATGCTTTGTGTAGACATAACTGTTCCTGAGCAAGTCACTGTATCCCTTTCAGGTTCAAGGACACAATGGCACACATCGTAGGGAGTCGCATGACAGAGCAATCCCTCCAACTGGGACAAATGTATCCTGCCCCCGCAGCTCTTAAAATCGGTCTTGTGGATCAGTTGGTTCCAGAGGATAAGGTACAGAGCACAGCGGCTGCGGCCATGGCTCAGTGGCTCTCTGTCCCAGGTAAGAACACCACATAGAAACCAAAGCAAAGTCCAAGAATCCTGCCAGACAGAAACAGATGCCTTTCTATTGCATGTTAATGTTGTACTGGTATAGGAAGTGTATCAAAGCCATGAAACATACCATACGGTAACTGGATGAGGAGGTCACAGTCATTATCTACGCCGTTGAAATGCCTTTGTGATAACGGTTTCAGCTACTAAAGAATTTAAATATTCTGTACGACCAGTTTTGTGATTTCAGTCCTGCTTTCCAGACCTCACATCAGGTCCAGTACAGCTTGATCAAGAACACCCCCTAGTCTGCTGGCTGGACAAGGAGAGGTGAAGCGGTACACTGATGAAGCCATCCCTCTGCTCACTATGCTTTCTCCTATCAGCTGATTGAAGTGTATGTGGTAGAACCTGATTGGTTCAGAGTGCTGGCCTTCCTTCTCCCAGCGTGAATGCCGCGCTATGCAGGTTTCTTTTTTTTTATATCTGCCCTTTGTTCAGCTTTAAAGAACATCCTTCAAAATATTTTATTGAGTGACTTCAGCTATTAACTATTTGTTAGGCCCAAAACCTTATAAGGGGTTAAATGCTAAACAGAGATGGGCAGCTGTGACTGTGTCAGAAACGGCTCACAGAAAACCCCCTGATTCATGCAAGCAGATAATGACGTCTGTTTACAAAGAGACGACCACTATGAAATATGGAAAGTCCCTGCAGCCCGGATACAGTTCTGTCACTAAGTGAAAAGAGCTAAAAGTTGCAGAGGAACGATCATATCGAATGTATTGTGCACTGATAGCATAACTATCCGTATCTTCTCTCATGCCAGGGTGCCAGATACAAATCCTGCCGCCTTCACCTCCATTACATTCTTATTATTTTAGTTACTAATTCAAGTTACTAATTCAATCACTCGTCATCTCTCCTCTCTTTTATTGGTCTATCTCTACACTGGCTATCCCCCCTTCAGTCTATAATACATGCTACTGCCAGACTCATCCTTCTAACCAAATGCTCAGTGTCGGCCTCCACTTTCTGCCAATCCCTCCACTGGTTTCCACTCGCCTGCTTCCACTCTCTGCCAATTCCTCCACTGGCTTCCACTCGCCCACCTCCACTCTCTGCCAATCCCTCCACTGGCTTCCCCT